TCTTGAATGGTTTAGTCAGGGATGGTCCTGCTCTGAGCAGGGTGCTGGACCAAATGACCTTGTGAGATCCCTTTCAGTTGTAATTTCCTATGATCCTGCTTGAATAGATCTCTTTCCTGTATGGTAACAGTTAGTGTAGAATCCATCATAGTGTAGCTATAGTTTGGGTTATTTCTACCCACGTGCATCACATTTTACACTTATCTACATTGAAATTCATCTGCCATTTAGTTGCCCATTCACCTAATAGTGCAAGATCCTTCTGTAGTACCTGACCCACTTGGTCTTTATCACTTTAAATAATTTTGCGTCCTTCAAAAAGGAGGAGGAAGGAGAGGATGCCAGGAGTGGGGGAGAGAGGTCGGATTATTACTTGATTTGGGGACTTAAAATCCTCAACAGCTGCTTTCACAGTGTGGTCTTCCTGTCCCAGGGGGCAGGGGAGAGAGCTGGGGTGTGGCCAGTCACTGCTCCCACACCTGCCTTTACAAAATCCTGGATCCAGCCACAGCATACAGGGTCAGTCCACAGGAGCTATATGGTTCACTGGCCCAGCTACTCTGTGCTGAATCCAGGCACAGAGCAACCCTGCACACCAAACCAGCCCTATGTACCAGATCCAAGTGTGGCCTGGCCCCATGCCCTGGGCTGTGTCATCCAGTCAGCAGACCTCCAGATGGATCCAGAAACATGGCAGTGGGGGTCTGGTGGCAGCATTAATTGCCACAGCTCTAGGAGCCATTAATGCTAGTACTGCTTGCCCACTGCCATGGAGAGCCCTGCAAGCCGGATGACATGGTCAGATTCAACCTGTGAGCCATGTCTCTAGTGGGTTATGGAATAGAGAAAATCCCACACAATTTACTGATTCGTTTTGATGCACTGGCTGGGGGAGTAGTTAGTTGATTGCACGATTTCACAATGATTACACACTTAATTCATTCAACACAATTTTATTTTAAAATTCTTTGCTACGCATATAACACTGCTTAGCTTTAAAAAATACCACAAACATTAAGAACACAATAATTACATACATCAGAAACAATGCTCCGAATGTACTTCCTTCCCAAACAATGCTATAAGAATTAGTATTACAAAAACAACTACAATTACAACTAAAAGTTAAATTTGAATCAATACTGTTTTTTCATAATATACTTACAATCCTAGAATTCCGAGAAGCCAAACAACTAAATATGGTTTCATTCCTCAGTAGTACAATTTAATGGGTTGGCCTCAGTAGTACGGTTCAATGGGCTCGCTTCAGCAGTGATAGGACTAAGTCCCCTTCCTTCAGTCCCTTTCGAGCGCTCTGCAGCTTCAGCGTGAACTAAGAGATTCGTGTTCACGGAGAGGGTGGTTCAGGTGATCAGTCTGATCCGGTCTACACTTGCGATTCTTCCTTCGTTGTTCTGCAAGTGAAGTTTTCCTCCAAACCGGAAGAGTAGTTTACAGTTTTTATTGAGTGAGTTGCCATCCTGGGCTCCTCCTACCCAAACCTGTCATTACTCGCAAATTTGGGCTCGGATCTTACTTTACAGATTTTTTTTGCTTAGTAATCGGTTTCTTTTGTTGATCATTTTAATTACGTTGGGGAACTTCCATACCACTGCAAGTAACCTTTTCTTTCCAATTTTTTCAAAGGCCCTAGGGTTTGATTTCTCAGAACTTGGGATATTTGCTTAAGGGTCATTTTTAGGTTCTCTTTGTTAAAGACCTCTAAAGATAAAATTCAAGAGTTAAGACTTTGAGCAAAGTCAGGACCTTCTGCACGTAGACCAAAACAATGGCCTAGATAAGGAGATAAATCTTGTCTTCTTCCTAAAACTGGCTAATGGGCAACTATTACAAACATTCAAACTATTTCATTCAATATGATAAGCCAAAGGTTGAGTACCACTACCTTAAATAGGCTTTGCTACTGTTCTCTACATTCCTCTATCTGGTTGACTTTTTTCACAGGACCTCATTCATTATTCCCCATTGCATCAGCACAACATAGATAAGAACTGTCGAAGCCAATTGGGGGATGCTGGTGTGCATTTAGCAGATGAAATGTGCATTGGTATTTTGTTTAATCAGTCAGTTCAAATTGTTTTGTCCCAAGGTTCCCTCTTCTAGAAAAAAAAAAAGATCCCTTTCCATTCTTGGTTGTCCCCTAATTGAACTATGAATACATACAAGCCAGTTAGAAGAACCCTTAGAAAAGGAGGCAAAAAGACGAAAGATGTTACATTTCATGACTTGTGCAGTTTTTCTAGCTGTACTAATATCACAGACTGGCACAAATCTTGTGCCAAGGGCAAACTCACTTTTGCTTTTTCTAATTGACTCTTAATCACAGAACCAGTCCAGACCACAATCATTACCCACTGAATGGTATTAAATAGCTGAAAGCCATAGGTTCTATTTTGTTTTTGATGTTCCAACAAGTGCTATACAATGTTAAGAAGCACAAAGTGTGCACACTGAAGAGAGAAGAGGCCCAATTATATTTGAGAAAAGAGTGGACCTGAAATCCAATATTTTCCTGTAATGCACAAAATGTTCCTGTATGGATTTGATATTTGCTGGAAAACCATTCATAAATTCACCAAAGTTGTGTTTGCTGCTGGTGAGGTAGTGTTTGCCCTGTGGGGTCAGGCCAACTCTCAGGATCTCAATATTGTGCTGTTAGACAGGAGGGTGTGACACAATTGCACATATACAAACACACAAATCAATTAGGTGCACACACACACACACACACACACACACACACACACCCCCAGCTCAGGCACATACATATCCAAACCAGCTTAGGCACATGCATACCTATCACCAATTCAAGCACATACACACTACACACTAAAAATTAGATAAAAATCAATTGTCAATACCCGCACACTCAGTACACATACACAGATCACTAATTCGTATATCATGCACACAATGAGATCTATATCTATATTTATATATATCTATATCTATATAGATACACACATATATATATATATACACACACACACACACTCACCAGTTCACACACATCCACCCACCTACACATAGGTAAGTTCCTAACTTGGAAGGTACGGTATGTATGTGTGTGCTTGAGGTACCTGGGATACTTGGGGGAAGGTTAAGGTGAGAGAGAGAGTTAAAGTGTAGGGAGTGAAAGTTGCCAGAACCAGGATTAGAACCGGTGGACTAGAAAGAAGCTGACTGAGGAACTGAGGCTTGAGTTTACGTAAGATCAAGTGACCCCAGGGTTACTCGAGGTCACTGGTGCGGGTGGGAGGGGGAAAAAAAAACCCTGGTGGCAAGAGGAGACAGCCAGGAAAGAGAGAGAAAACTGGGAGTTTGGGGCTGGAAACTGAGGTAGACAGCTGAGAAATTGCACGGGGGTAGGCAGATAAGTGGTGGCAAGGAGGAGACAGCCAGGAAAGAAACTGAAGCAGAAACCTGGTTGCTCAGGGGAAAAGGCAGTGGGGATAAGACAGTGGCAAAGAAAAACGGGGGTTGGAGACAGAGAGGAGCTCAGGACAGGTGTCGGAGGTGGTGGTGAGCCAGAAGCAGGAGAGGGAGAAATGAGACAGAAGTTAGAGGGGCGAGGAGGAGAGATTGGAGCAGGGCTGAACCATAGTAAAGAAAAACCCAACTTAGGGGTCCAAATAACAGGTTTATTAAACAGACAACACACTACACAGCCCCGTGAAGTTATTGGTTCACACACCTACACGCGCGCGCGTGCACTCACAATGGCAGCAGGAGACAAAGATTTAGCGGAAGGGGGGGG